GTGCCAGAATAATTTTCTCGAACAGCTTGCCCAGGATCGAGGTAAGGCTGACTGGCCTGTAGTTCCCCGGGTCCTCTTTTCTCCCCTTTTTGTAGATGGGAACCACGTTGGCCCTCTTCCAGTCCTCCGGCACCTCTCCAGAGCACCACGAGTGTTCATAAAGCCGTGCCAGGGGACTTGCAATGACCCCAGCGAGTTCCTTCAGGACTCTAGGGTGAAGATCATCTGGGCCGGCTGACTTAAAAATGTCCAGCCCCTCCAGAAGCTCCCTAACTAAATCCTCACTCACTCTAGGCCCAGGTGAGCCTCCCCTGGGGCCCAAAGGGGGCCCAGCAGGGAGGTGGCAGTTCTGGTCCTTACATTTATATCAGATGTTAAATTTAACATCTGATATAAATCACAATTTGATATAGGATACAAAAAGCCTTATCTGCCTTTTCTTGATAAACTTGAGAATGTTACTGAAACACTATAACCCCTACCCACCCAGCTGCCTACTACCCAGACCAGGAAATGTCAAAGGAGACAACTGCACAAAATAAGCTGACACAAAGAATTAACAAGAATTGTCCCTAGGTAGCAAGGGCAAATAAGGCAAACTGCAAGCTTCTGAAGAACACCTTTGCTAGCACACCTCGATTCTGCATTTTACTCTTGTCAATCTTTCTGATTATTTCACTACACAGGAGACAAACAACTGGTCTAAAACAAAATAAATAACTCTCTCTTCAGAGCCCCTCTGAAATTATTTATGTAAGAGATAATAGCAATTAATCCATTTAATGAAGTTAGTTGTTTTATTTCCGAGAAAGGAATGACAAACCACACATAAGAAATATGACTATTAGTAATATGCAATAAACATTTCATTATATGAAGCTAAGTATTATGCAGAATCAAGTTTCAGAGCAAAAACAGATTCCCACTGCAAACAGAAGGGACCATCTATAGAGTTGTTTATGAAAACAGAGCAAAAAAAATTAGGTGAAAATTAATTATGTTATCCTACTGTGCCGTAGTTACTTGCCTGTTAAGTGATCCAAGTAGAATTGATAGAGTTTACACTGAAGAGGCGTCATTCTAACTGCAAGAACATACTCATGTTTTGGTGGCAGGAACTTAGTTAATGCAGTGTAATCTTTTCTCTGTAATTTTACAAAAGGGATGTTGGTCAAAACACAAACTCTGCATTTTAAACCTTCTGACATATACAGACACTGTCTTCTATCTAATGTATCTGGCTGGTTAGTCAGGTGCACGCTACATGTATCACTTCAGTGTGCAAATTCCTTGGCATTTGTAGTGTCAACTACAATTTCCATAATTGCTTCCAAACATTGCTTCTTTTCAATACGGTTACTCTTAGTGTGCAAATATGTGTAAGTGAAGCAATTAATGTCAAAGTTTATATTATGGAAGCACTGATTCCAATGCTCCATGAAGCTACTCTCAATTCTGAGGCGTGAGAATGCTTGTGTGTGCTTGCCCAGGCTCCTACCACTTCCTTCTCATTTTCTTTTGCTGCAAATTGCTGCTTCTCTCCATCTCCCTCTTCATCTTAATAGTATGCTGAGAGTTTCCAGGCTGACAAACTCCCCAGTTTGCTGTATGCTACTCCTTGTGTGGCAAGCTATAAGAAATTTGGTGACCTCCAAAATGGCTTAGATTTAGGACATCTAACCTTTTGATAACATTTTGGTGTAATAATTAAGATTTTCAGTGTTGTTGCCTTCTTCCTTTCTGACAGGAACAGGATAGAGTATATTTAAATACAACTGTCACACCCCCTTCTTGCTCTTAAGGGTATCCCTGTGGCTTTCCATTTTTGATGTGCCAGGCCAGAAGACCCCAAACATTTCCAACATTTCCTTATTTAAAAATATCTATATCTATCAAACTCTGCTTCATTTTTCATTATGACCATATGACTGATCTCACTCCATTCATAAGCACTTAACATCTGAGGCAAGTGCAACTGCTTAAACCTAAAAAGATATACTGAGGAAAGTAAATATTTATGATGTTTAAATTAACAAATGCTTTATCCTCTTTGAATCAATCCTCAACCTCTCTCTCTTCCCACATGAGTCTTCAAAATGAAAACCAAGTCATCTGCATCAAATGACCAGTTCTCTACGGACGATCAGTTTATTATAATTTTTCATACAGGTACATTTTAAATATGTATGCAAAATAAGTTTAGAATATTTCAAAATAGATGCTACGACTAACGTACTGATATTCTACCCTATTATATAAATTACCTGTCCCATAAATGAGGAAAACTACTGCATTCTCCAACTTCTACATATCCTGTCATCTCAGTAAGAACTGTAACTTTTGGTTTATAAAATTTTCTACTTATGTGCTATTTCTGAATCATTCACAACTAAACTAATTGGTGAAAAATCTAGTTGGATCAAAAGTGATAGCTAGCTTAATGAAATATACAGATAACAATAATGCAGTCCAGTGCAGACCTTAAGCAATGTTGTCCAAATGAAAGCATATTATTCAAACCACATAATAAAAGAAACTAAACATTATAGAAAAGTATTTACATACCTGAACACATCCAGCTAACATTTCATATAAAATATGTGCACGCTTTTTCATTACTCTTACATCAACAGGGGTAGAATCTGCGCACTGACCGTTCTGGATTGGATTTATAAAACGATTTCGGAATTCCTTAATTGATCCAAGCAAGTTCTCCTTGATAAAGTTAACCATGCAGTGATCTGGGAGAAAAAGATCAACTCCAGTTTTTTTTAAGTTGAAGTGAATAGTTTCCATGAAAGCGTTTATTCTCAATTTAACAAAAATAGGAGTCTATCTCCTTTCTAAAAATCCTTTTCTGTTAAACAAGATAAAAGTATCTTCAAAGCATAGACCCAGAAAGTAACAGCTTTTCATTGCCACTTAATTTATTTCATTAGCTATACTCTGGTGCCACTAGGAATACAGAATACTTTCAATTACAATCAAACCACACTTTTTTTTTTTTTTTTTGCAATGCAAACATTTGTTGAAAAAGCCATTTTCAACTACAAGCCAAAGAAACCACTACTTACATTCTATAAGGTTATTCTGCAGTGGTGTTCCTGTAAGAATTATCCTCCTTCTGGATCGTATTGCATTCATAGCTTTAGAAACAGCAGAAGCTTCATTTTTTAATATATGCCCTTCATCACACACAACAAAGTCAGGGCCTAGAAGAAAAGAAGTTTAGTGATATTAGATAACTTGATTTTCTGTAACCTGGAGGAATTTATGATTAGAGAGAAGTAGTAAGCTGTATTATTCTGAAGTCATGCAGAAGGCAGGATACGGTAGTACCTTAGAAAATTACTGGTTCAGAGATATACATGTATTCTTATTCTGAAGCCCTCTAAAACATATCATGTCTTTCTGAAACTATTAGTCTCTAAGGTGCTACTTTGCTCTTCTTCTACCTGTAGCGATTTGGTTGTTTACTAGAGTGACTCTGTTCTAATAAACAGGCAACTATATATATATTTTTATTCAATAATAAAGCTGCCTTTTTT